GGAAAATGGCCGCGGACCACGTGTCAGGGGCGGGAAAATGGCCGCGGACCACGTGTCAGGGGCAGAAAAATGGCCGCGGACCACGTGTCGGGTGGGAAAATGGCCGCGGACCACGTGTCGGGCGGAAAAATGGCCGCGGACCGTGTCACGGGAGGGAAAAAGGCCGCGTATCCTGTTTGTACCCCAAGGCGGAGTTCGCAAACCGAGGCAAAATTTTGCAGCCGGAGCTGGTCGTAACCCGAAAAGTTCGTTAATAGAAGCGTTCGTAACCCGAGGTTCCACTGTAATCTTGTCTTAAGTGTGTGTCATATAAGATGGGATAGAGAGAATCTCTGGCAGAATTTCAAGATTTTGTTAGTATACCCTGCAAGGAGCGTTCCTGGAATTCTTCTGGTGTTTGTTTCTCGACCTCAAAGGGCTGATAAGCAGCCACTGTTAGTTGGCATTACAATTTCATTTTCTAGAAGATAGCTGGCTATGTTCTGGAGATATTCAACACCCGCCTAGAAACTTGGGTTCTTGAGTGGCATATGTGATGTGGAAATGCTTTATAAAATGTTCTTATTCTCCCACTGCCTTCCTTTTTACAAGGGTTGGCAAAGAATGGGCACCAGGGGTTGGTTTAAGAGGCTGTGTTTTTATTGCAGATGGTCTCTACAAGTTCCAGGGGGTCTTCCCAGTTTGGGGTCTCGTGGTCTTGGTTGGGGCTACTTTAGCTGCGGTCATCTTTTGCACCACAAAAAATGAAGAACCACCCCGCTACCACTTGGTGAGTCTTGGGGGAAGAGGTGGGAGTACTACAGATGTGGTTGGAATCCTTCTTGTGAAACTCAGTCTAGACGTTCCCCCACCTGGTGTCTTCCACTTCTGGAATTGCCAAACAATTCCACCACTCCAGAAACCCTGATGTACAAACCGTCACAGCTGGATTCCCACAAACTGGTAAGGCCGAAACTGAGCTGACCACAATCGAGGCTCATTGATGTGAGAACCAGGTCTTAGCACTGGCTGGTCCACCCTTCCCCAATGTAAGCAACCTCCAGATGTGTTGGATGTGTCAAAGGATATAAAGAATGGAATCAGAAATGGGGAACCAGCAACTCTCCAGATGCATTGAACTAGTCTTCCAAGAGGACTCACCATGGACAAACTGGAGTTCTTTTTATTTGCAAAGATGATGACTTTTTTTTAGTTAGTAGATGATCTCATCATCTCTTTTCCTCTCGCCCAGCTTAATGGGAGAATAAATGAACTTCCCTAACAGTGATTTGCTACAGTGACTGCTCCTTATTGCAAAATATTTTGAGTCCCTTGGTCTTGAAATGGACTCTTGGTGTAATAAAAGTATTTGCTTCTGGGGAGAAATCAGAACTGAACATTTTTTTGCTCGTCCATGTAAACACTATCTTCCAAGTTCTTTTTCTGGTCCTCAGCGCTCGGGTGTGTAAAACATTTTGACTGGAAGCATCTCAAACATGAAGATCCCATTTTAAATGCAAAATGGGCAGTTCTGAGCATTTCTCTTCAGCCCAAAACAGCTCTGTTTTGAGTTTGGGACGCTTCCACTCTGCTCAAAACACACTATTTATTTTTCTGGCCCCAAATGGGATGTTTGGAATTCAAAGTAGTTCAGATTGAAACCTTGTGGATCCAGCTGTTCCTCCTTGATCCCTTAGCTAGACTCCAGCCAAGTTGTCCAACCTCTTCAAAAATGTGAATGCAACAAGAGGAGAGATTGTGCAAACACCTGGATCAAGTCCAGGCTCCCCTAAGGGAATCTTTCTCGATCCAGACATGGGGACTTCAGCTCCCAGAATCCTCAGCTATACCATGCTATGTTCACACATCTGGAGAGTCCCTACATTAGGAAAAGCTGTAGTGAGCCATAATACATGTTTTCAAATGTATTCATTATTGGTTGGCATGGTGCCCCTAAAACCACTGTTTCCTGTCGGCTTGGCTCCTTGCAGCTGTGGCTTAGAGTGATGCATGTGCGCAGGGCAGGGACATGATTTCTTGTGTGGTTTCTGTTGATTTCATTTTTATGTCCCTCCCAAGTCAAACCGCCATCTAGAGGTGCAAAAAAACCCAGCTTGAAATGAG